AATCACTTACTCGTTCCGGAATGCAACACGTAGTAGAAAGATGATAGCCTCGACTATATGGAAGACTACCAGCGTCTGCGAGGCGTCCTTGATTCACTAAGTCCTTTATATATGGGCTCCGGGCGCGTAGCAAGTTTTCGACCAATCGAAAACCGCGCCGATTTAAACTCGACCAATTCCCGACCATCTTCGCGCGCGCGCACGTGTCGTATATGTGCGCGTGTACGTGCCTTCGTACGTGATGGGTAGCCGCCGGTAACGGTTAGAGTCGGTTAGAGTCGTCTGATATGTCTACACGTGATGTAGACGTCTACCTTATGCGAGATTGGATCCGACACAATTCCTCAAATTCTGTTTACAGAAACCAAACGCCCGGACAGGAGCGCCCGGCTATTTATTATCACGTGACCGCCACGAATCACGAGATTACGCGATCGCGTGTATCGCGGCGAAGCCGATACAAAGCGCAAACGCGAGGCGTTTGCGATTCGTACTCATTCGTACTTGTCCACGTGATCGTAATGTCGCGAGCGCGTTGTACAACGTTCAAAGTATTCTCCGCTTTAAATATTTTCTAAAGTTTCTTCAACTGACATTCAGAGGCTTTTTACACATTTTTAAAGGTCGACAGAAGTGACAAGTCAACTTATTCACACCTCATTTACGGTGCAGCTACATATCTGCACTCTATCTAACTTTACTTAGTATAGTCTTTTAGAAGAAATATTTTATTATGAAACTCGTTTTTTTGGTTTATATTTTACGAAGCTACGAAGCCTATTAAAGAGTCGAATTTTGCAATTTCGTTCTTAGCATTGTAATAAATAAAACGATATACTCATTTACGGTGCAGATACATGTTTTTATGCTGATATTTTATCTCCTTATCTCCTAAAATACTATACATTTTAAAACGAATTGTACATTTAAACAATACTTTTTCAATGCAACGTCTCAACAAAAATAGTGAACAGGGCAACAATATCTAGTCAAAAAAGAAAAGAGCCAGAAAGAAAAAATTACAGATTAAAATTAAAAAGAAAAAGAACAGAAACAGTATGACGAAAAATATCTAAATTCAAAAAAATAAAAAGAAAAAGAAAATATGTATGGAATTTTGAGAAAAGGACAAAAACAATATGACGAAAAGGGAAAGAATGCATGGATTGAAATTAGAGAAAAAGAATTAGACAAAAAAAATGATTAGAGGTATTACGAAATACGCGTTCGATAGACGATAGTTCCGTTCAGACTAAAAAAAAAGACACTCGCGAACGAGAAGTTGGAAGAAATTATATTGTTCTGATAACGTAACACTCTGATAACGTGATGTTGTAATGTTGCTGTTTTTTTTTTCTTCGATTGCGCACAATAGCTATTTAATTATTGACGCGACGCGCACGAGAATGATCGGGACACAATGGAATGAGCGCCGGAGGAAAATGTGATCTCTCCTAAGTTCCAAGTGATCACCAATGTGGCTCGATAACGTACGCTCACGGATCGATGGTGCATACAGACTGCGAAGTATGAATTCAATAAACGAGAGAAGCTGACAACAGAGAAAGAACAGTACGATATAGCAGTTATGCTCTCTTATCGAAGTGAAAGTAACTAGTTCTTTTTAATCCAGATCGAATCGCATTCGGTGACCCTTTAAAGCATGCGGAAAGTTCTGTAATGCTTCATATAAGAATTACGCAAAACATTCAATAACGTTAATTAATTTTAATTAACATTTTAATTCCTCATTTTTATATCCTAATTCTTGTTCAAAAAGAAGTGAAATAAGCATCTCAATTGAATTTGGTAAAATGACTTTTATAATGATGCACTGGCGAAAAAATTTTCATTTTTATTTTTAAAAATTCATTATTTTAATTTTAAGAATTTATTATATTATAAATTTATGAAGAGACTTCTGAAAAAAATATCCATTAAATTTCTTTAGATTTTGTAGATTCCTTCAGAAATTATAGAATAAACAATCTTCAAAATCTTAGTACTTCGAAATTTATATATATGGAAAATTCTACAAAAAAATATAGACTTTCTCCGCATCTCCAAAAAGTGACTCAAAATTCATATAAAAGAATTTGATAAATTTTCTGTAAATTAAGTTATACAGAAATTTTAAGAAATTCTGAAATTTACGTAAAAATTTGGAAAATTTATATTCATATTTATGTATATTTACGAAAAATTTTCACCAGGATTTCACCATACAATTTGGTTACTTGTTATTGTTAATTGTTCACAAAATCTTAGATAATCTAAATAAAATATAAGATATAAATATATAAAAGATCTTTTTTGATATCAATTTTAACGTTTCTTTCAATTATTCAATATTATTAATTATGATTTAATTACGTTCTTCTAGATAATCTGTATCTGAAAAAGTATTCTTTATATTGTTTAAATACTGAAGATGATTTTTCATACGCAGTTGTTCAATTTAACTGGAAATAAGCTGCAAATAATCTTCATAAATGTAAGAATTAAAAACGGGTTGTGAGTAAAACATCAACTTTTCTTATCACTGACGCACGATGCGCGTTATTATGCAACTAATTTTAACGTCCAATTTCTTAATCTGTTATTTGTATCGCGAACCAGCATAACAACGTGATACTTGTGATACAAGCGAAAGGAAGTTGATCAGCCGTAAGAAAATTCCGATGTAGGCGAAAGTCACCTTAAATGATACGCTTGTGTGCGTACGTTATGCTTTTTTAGAGTAAACGCCTTTTAATTGAATGTAAACATTAGATTTCAAACATTTAGTCTACATCCACAAAGCACATGATAAGTCAAAGTTCTTTAATCGTGTTGCTTTTTTTATTTCGATGTCATATACACTTAAGGCTCCCGAGTAGTTACATTAATTTTTATTATGTCCCATTTGTAAGTAAAGATAATTTAGATAAAACAAAATGATATGAAATAGCATTAAAATAATTGTAAAAATAGACGAAAACTATACTTATTCCCGACAGTCAGTAAATCGTAAAGTGATAAAAGATATGTGAAGTATTTTTATGCAATGCGCATGTCTAGCTTGTTTTCACGTGCCTTTTATCACTTTGTACGATTATTTACGGACTATCATAGGGGGGAGGGATAAAGATAGCTTTCGTCCATTTTTACATTGGTTTAAAGAGATTTCGTCATTTCATTTTATCCAAATTGTCTTTATTTACAAATACCACATAATAAAAATTAACACGTTATTTCTTCATGCTTTTGATATCACGATTCAATATGGCAGGAGTCTTAACTCCTTTTTTTATTTTTATGTACACATTTTTATAGCCACATTATTACTATTCTTTCGTGTTTTTTTCGTGATTAATGTACTATCTAATCGAAAATAATAAGACAAACGAAGTTTTTATCAAGAATCTCTTCTCATTAAGAAACAATGACGTGTTGTTGAAAAATAATGACGTGTTCAATTGTATTGCTTTTTATTATTATTCTCCTTTATGTATACCTGTATCGCATTTAATTAGTTTCGCCTCCTTAGAAATGAACTATCAAATATTCAGATTTACAATCGCAGTGTTGAGCAGTTTTCTTTATAAGATCAGCTCTATAAAACGCAAACGTATCTGGTGTACAACCTATTATTATATAGCGGTCATATGCTGGATTGTCCCGGCTTTTCTTCCTCTCGTGCCACTTCTCGTTACAACCCCCGATGCTGTCGACAATACAATTAATGTTAACTTAAATACGGCCTCATTTAGATAGATCTAACATGATTTCTCTTCTTTCTTTTTTACTTGCAAAGAAGTATACTCCTTTGTCGTCGACTGTTGTCTCGTGTGCCAGCTTCAATTTCAGGATAGCCGTTAGCAATAATCTCAGAGGAACCTAACAACGAACATGCACGCACGCATGCACACGCACACGCACACGTACACACAAATATATGTGTGTGTGTATATATATATAGATATATATATATATATGTAAATAATAATTTGAACAATAAAATGCATGATTCATACGTTCACGTTTACAAGAATTTCGCCTAGCATTTAATTTTTTTCTCGCAGATAAAACATCATTATCACCGCTTCCACCGTGAGAGATCTATTCGTTAGCCTATACTTCCCAATTGCGATTCGACAGATCCTTTGTAAAGCGATTAATCCCTTTCGCCTAAAAAGAATAGCGCTAAAAAAAACATACAGTCAGAACGTGGTTATAATGTAACGATATAGTGAACATCAACTTTTAGCATACAGAGATTACTTGTATCTCAAACTATAGGGAAGTATCCCTTTAGTAATCAGATCTGTGATGATGCTCTTTACTTAACTCAATTTGAAATTTATAACACGTACGCACACACATACAGTTCCTCTCTTTCTCTTCCTCTCTCTCTTTCTCGTATCCACCTTGACACACACTTAACAAGCATGTCGCTAAATTATTCTGAATAGATCCATGTAAACGTGCGTGCATGTGTGTGTGTGTGTGTGTGTGTGTGTGTGTGTGTGTGTGTGTGTGTGTGTGTACATAGGGTGTTCGATAAGTTTTGACAAAGCCTCGTGGGCAGGTAGAGCAGACTAAACTGAGTCGAAAAGTCCTGTACTATTTTACAATTTTCGCAATTCTTTTTTTAATTAACCAGTGAGCAGAATATCTACAATCGACACATAAAGCAACTTCAAGATATCTTTAAGAGTTCTTTGTGAAATATCTTTAAGGTATGTCATAAGGAACTTTGGAAATATCTTAAAATTGTCTTATCCACTTATTCGGCATCGTTAACACGTTAAATGCCGAGCCTATTTTGTTTCACTTTCCGTTTACCGCACAATACCATCCAGGTAACTGAAGAGGTGCGTGAGCTAAAGTTTAAACAAAAAATAACGAGGAACAAAGATCGCGACGACTACTGCATAGAATGTTACAAAATTAATTTTAAAATGTTTGAATAGAAAATGATGAAAAATTTAACCAAAAGTTGTAACTTTTTATACCTGTAAAGGAAAACCCCATCTTTGTTTAAATTATTTTAATAAATTACATTAATTTTTGATAAAGTTTTATATTCTCAACTTATTACTTTAAATTCTTCAAGGATTGACGTCGCCTAAACGAAATGTTCATCCTCGGTATGTAGGGACCGGCGCGGCGGTGTAGCCTAAATAAAAGTTGAGCGCCGGTTCGTAGGGGCCGTGGCGTAAACGGAAAGTCTAATGCCGGTCCGTAGGGCATTTAACGTGTAACTATTGCGAAAATTGCAAGATGGTAGAAGACTCAGTTTAGTCCGCTGTAGGCCAGGTGCTCATAAGCGTTTTGTCAAAACCGGACACCCTATATATAAAAGTAGCAAAAAAAGAAAACATTTGACATCTACAAAACGTTATTTGGAACAGCTTTCTTTAGATACACGATATTGAGATTATGATTAATTAGATACGCTACCAATCAGTCTGTACAGCCACATTAAAATTTCTTTTTACAAAATATTCTGCGTACTCTCGCTTAACTTATGCGTCCAGTCTTCTTCAAAAACCATTTGTTATAGATTTCTTTCGATTATATTCTTATTAATCGATCAGACAGCGGGTCACTACTTCTGAATTGTCGCATTAACCTTAGCAGATAATTCATGTTTGTGTATTATATTGGTATACCGTATACCATTCTCGTACTGCGAATTTTGCTTTCGTATCCCCTCGAAATGATTTTCTTGCAATGTTCTCGTAGTCTGTAATTTAATAATTTTAAGATATTCAAAATAGTTTAAACTAATTATGTTTAAATTTACGGAATTTGACGGATTTCACTATAATCTTACGACCACAGTAAACAGTTCCTCAACTTAAAAAGAAATTTATTAAATAATGTAAAAAGCTCACACAGCATTCTCCTTGACATTTACAATTATATATTTCAAATATTCGAGAGCCGGTGTGATCTTTAAATAGATGTTGGCTAAGTCAATTTGATCACAGTAAAGTGTAGAAATGATAAATAAGGATTCGTAAACGGCAGATCTTGCACGAGACGCAGGTTACCTTGAGTCGTGAGTGATTCACCGCACGAGATACTTGTGTTATAAATTATAAACAGAAGCTAGAGAATTAAATCATTAATTTATATAATCAAATAGAGAATACTATGATGACTTATTAGCTGAATCGTTACTTCCGAAGTCATTTCCTAAAAGCGGCAGTATTGCTCACTTTGCTCTAAAATAACAAAAAAATAAATAAATAAAAGAAAGAAAAGCCGCGAATATCCATGTTACAACGATAAGCGTTTGCATCTCGCCAAGAATTTCTTTTCGTCTACATTAAGCGTCATTCATTTTGTCAATTTCTTACTTTGTACGCTGTTAATACTTGCAAAATTGGTAGTTTTAGACATAAAATATATTATAGAAAATAACATAAAATACACTCAAATACCAAAAAAATATTCCAGGATGTTTGAAAGATAACTTACAAATTTTGTTCGTGCATTTTCTTCTCCATTTTTTAAAATAGTGTGACGTAAAATAAAATAGTGGCGTAATTTTACGTTGTTGCTACGTGCTTTGTTTGAAAACACGAAGAAATTTGAGAGAAATTTGTGATGTGCATTTTGAATTAAATTAAATAAACTCGATAAATATTAAAATTTGAATATCTTCAATGGAAATAAAAAATTTTATTCTTTTTTTAAATAGAAAATATACATCTTTCTCTCAAACATCTTGCGAATACAACATAAAAAAGGAACGATTCTTTCTCGGTATCACGAATATTAAATATTAATCATGCAGAATATAATACGGCATCTCTTGGGATGTAACGATTACGTACTTCTATATACGATAGGGTATGAACCGGAATTTTAAAGTCTCACTTTCCTAATAAAATTAAAAAAAAGAAAGAAATTAGTTTATTAGAGATAATTATCAGACAATAATATTGGATACAATATACGTGCATTTCGTAATTAAATGTTTTCGGAATCTAGGCGAAAATCCGTACTGAATGACGCCAAAATAAGCTATTGGGCCATTATGTAAAATCTTTACAAGTTCGAATCGAGGAACTATAGCATCGCTTTTCCATGATAGCACTGCACACTTCACGATAGTTTCTTAATCCATTGTATACCAATCTTAGATTTACCTTTCGATGTCATTCTTGCATTATTAAAATTGCATATTTAATCTGGCTGAAGAAACGAATATGAACGCATTTTTCCAACCTTCAATATACCAGACGTCGCTTTCTTACTATACAGAATCGTATAAATTACGTATTATGAGTGGCTGCCTAATTTAATTTTTTCTTCGTGTGGTGGAAATTTAATTGTAAATCTTAATGGCCTTTTCGAGGTAGTTGATACGAGAGCGCTTCGGCGCTTTGTTGACGTGTTCCAGGCCAAGCCAAGGCCTGTGTGGCGCTGTGCCTGCGTTTAAAAGTGGATAGACTACAAAATTTATTCTTTATTAGCATCGTATCAGCAATACACCATATGTTAAATATAGTGATTATGCGATTCGACGCTTGCTTTATTGATATATATTTTTAAAGGAAAAGTAAATGCTTCTTTATACTTACTCTGACTGGTGTATCTGGGAAGGAAATCCTCGATTTTGATACAAGAGTCCGGCGAGTCAATAATGAATTGCGGCTTGCCCATTGTCACCACCGCGAACTTAAACTTCAAAGTTTTTTTATGAATTCTCATAAAAGATCAAAAAAGATTAGCTAAGGATGCCTACCTTTTCAAATTCTTTCTCCTGAACCCCTAATTTCTTCAATAACCTATCCTTCATCTTGGGAAAAGGTTCACCCTACAAACACAAGGATTATTGATGCATTCGTGCCTTACATTATGCGTTAATTTAAATAAAACATCACTCACATGTTTGATCTTGAAGAAGAAAGGTATACCGAACGTTGAGAAAACTTCTTTGTGAAAATGGGCAACAGGAACTAGCATTTCGCCTTCCGCTAGATTTACTTCGTCAAGCGGTATTTCTTCTATCCTATACAATTTGGTGCCTGATGTGTTTAAGTGATCTAAAGGTGTGTCATCCCCAGGGCCAGGTGATAGTTTGTTGCAAGTCATTTCTAATATCCTTAATTTTCCTGAACCATTTTCCGATAATTCTACTTGCTTCTTAGCCTCCTCAAGTAAATTAGCGACGGTACCATTTTTATTTGGGTAAAGAATCATCTCTTTCTCTTCTTTAAGCGATGGCCCTACCCATATGCACTTGAACTGTTTCTTGTTTTCTAGCTCATTCACCCTAATACTGAGCTGCTGATAAAATAATTTCTTTACTTTCGTTTTGCAGTACGCAACCAGTTCTTTGAGCGTGCCGTCGAATGTACATTTTAAAGGATGGCCGGGAGAATCTTTATAACTGTAAAAGAAATTTCAGAATAAAACCCTTTCTCCTAAAACATCTTGCAATAATCAAAAAAACCTTATATTAAGATAATTCGATTATTTTTGATATATAATATTAACGGTAATTAAAAGACAAGTAAGAACATTAATTCTTACTTTTGACATTTAAAGAATTGTAAAAGATACGGATCTGTGCCGACTCGTTGCGCTACGGCCTTTGCCATTTGATCATATGTCATTCTCAATGAAAGTTCCATTGTAAAACCTGGATCGTTTGGAATCAACTTATCACAAAATGTTACTTCTACCCTATAGAATAGATCTCTGAAATGTAAATCACAATAGATTAACATGTTATATTGTACTAATAATATTCAAGGACGCAATTCTCGAGATACATTGGCGATAAGAGATAAAAGTGTAGTACACTACTTACTTAAAATATTCTCGACACGTTGGAAGTTCGTACATTTCATTGTCTCCTTCCTTTTGAAATACAATGATATCACCGTCCATTAATTCTTCCAGAACCTTTTCCAAAGGCTCCGATAAGTTATCTATTTTCTCAACTAAATTTGGTTTAATTTCCTCATATAAAGCAAGTTCTGTGTCTGGTGGGAATCCGGCGCGTTCGTTTAAAATTGGTATGAGCTCCTCTGTAAAATTTATTTTCAGATATACATATGTATAGTGTGTTTGGTTTAAGTGTATACACTCATTGTCACTTTTAAAAATAAAGTTTACAAAAAAAAATTCGAGTAAAAGCTATTTTGTTTAATAAGATACATGACGATTTTAACAAAATTTAAATTATTTTTTAATGAATTTTTAATGACTTTCTTATTGGAGCTATTTTGTTTTTCTGCTCGTACCTACACAACAACTCAAGTGATTAATATCTCATGAACGAATATCGAAAATCACATTTTATGTTATTGAATTTGTCACAAAATAAGATGTAAACCTGTTATTTAAAAAATTAAATATTTTTATTTAAGTCATTTTTTAGATCTTAACAAAATTATTTTTATTAAAAAAAATTTTATTATTCTATTTAAAAAATACTAACTATACACAAATAAGTGGAAAACGTTATATTCTATCAAAGAGGATCTTTATGCTTAATATTTTTTGCGTGAATTTAAACAATTTTTAGTTCAAGCAATTGCACGCCGTTTATTCGTTGGTCTCGAGACATAGTCCTAAATTGAAGCCGGAGTAATATCACGAATTAAATTGACAAACTATTGATGTTAATAAATATCTTTAAAACCTTAAATAACTGTATACACTTAAATCAAATATTGCACATATTTTTTTCGAATAACACTTAAAATATATACAAGGTGCAGCAGTAATTCTGTCCACTTAGAATATATCTCCGCTATTCTTAGAGATTATATTATTAATAAACATATTAGTAAATATATTAAAAAATTTCAACTTACGGACTTTAGCTACAACAGGCATATAATGATGACCGCAGTAATGAATTTTCTTATTTTTGGGATCGTAGAGTTTAAAAAAGAGTAAAACATCAGTGTCCTTGTCAAAAGGCGGTAATGCTGTCATGTCAGAGTCTGGAGGTACAAGTTCAACAAAAACGTTCCACGGATTGTGATTTTCCGCGCAGTCGATGATGGGCTTTTGAAGATCAGCGTCCGGCTCAATTAGCGTAGGTCTACAGGTTTGATTTGAACGTGTACTGAAGGGCCAAATGCGAATCTGTTCTATTGGATATTTCTGTAGAATAAATTTGATAATATTAAATATCTCTTTTATTGTCATATCTTTACAATTTTATAGTATAACAATTCATTATTCTTTTTTATTGTTATATATAAAATAGTAATATAGCATTTAATATATAATTTTTAAATTCTGAAATATTAGAAATAAAGCTTGTTCAAAATCATTTTTTAAATATCATTTTGCAATATTATTTCTTGTTTTTACACATTTAATTGGAAAATACCAACGTAATCTTTTCAGGTTTTATTACCTACCGTGATAAAAATAGTCTAATAAACCACTGCATAGCCCATAATAGCACGTAAAATTACATGGTACTAAATATTACATCAGTATCGATTTACTTAGTAAATAAATGATGTATACGTACATAAGCAAAAAATCAATCTTTTAAGTAATATAAACGGCGTTTCGGAAAAAATATCAAGAGAGAGAACGCACATCACTTACCAGACTATCGCTCAGTAGCTCGAGAAACTCGTGCACAGTGGCCTGCTTACGTACGCGAAATACACGATATAAAGCGTGCTCTGGGTCGTAGAGATCATTTCCTTGGTGACCGTCAAAGCTATCCTCGAGAAGGACATTGACGGTCATGTACAAGTATGCTTCCGTTCTTTCCTTTCTTCTTATTTGTTCCAGCCTCTTCTCCTCTTGCAGCCTCTCCACCAGCTAGACCAACAAAATTAAAATTATCCACGTGTGTACTCATTTTGTTCTCATTAATCATTTTTCCTCGACTGTCTTTTTAATTTATGTGATTTGATTCTCTTTTTCTTTTCAGAAAAAGATTATTTCTCTCAGTATCATGCTTTTGAGATTCGAGAACAGATCGTATTCGAAATATCAAAAGAATGACGGTACAATTTCCATTTTTGTAATTTTAATTTTGTTCATCTGCCGCTATATCGACTACCAAGTCAAACAATTACACAATGAAAATTATTTGGCGGTGAGTGATGGTTCCCAGTTATCTCTTCCTGGCTAATAAATATAAGCACACAAGTAAATATACATTATTAGTAATAAATTGGTGACACAAATATGTGTGGTGGATAAATACGATATATATAAATCGTAGAATAATCTTTCAATTATATATTGCGTTACTACCTCAAGAATATTCAAAATAAATATAATCGCCTGAATATAGAAATAATTAATCTTAGCAAAACATGACAAGGTATCTTAACCATTGTACATGCGCATATATAAATATAAAATACATATTTATTAAAATGCTATAACCACCACCCATGCCAAATAATTATAACAATGTAATGTGTAACTATAGTAGTGTGGAGATGCCTTGTAACTTGGATATCTCTATTACTTGAATCGTGTAAAATAGACAAGAATAGCGGTAAAAATAAATAAAATTAACGCGGTTTCCGGCTGTGAAATTTTCTAGTATTCAACAATTTATTCGTTATTCTTTTTTTTTCTTTATTTTTATATATAAAATAGTGATATAGCATTTAAAGGTATCTCACGATTAAAGCTATTATAAAGTATTTACTCTATCGATGATATTTTAGCGTTCTTTCATCTCTTTTCTCTCATTTTCTCTCTCCCTCTCTCTCTAATTATTCATATATAACAACAAATAAATAGATAGTATCTGTCAATGATCATAATTACTATTAACATGGAGAGAATTTAATGAATCAACGACTTGGTTAAGTGTGTGGATTGCATCTTCTGTTGAAACATGAAGTTCTTACTTTACTCATTATTGTGTATCAACTTTAAATATTAATTGATGAAAACTGCGAGGGTGAGTAATATAAATCACATTGTCTCACTCACTAAACAATCCAGTTAAATAGCAAACACGCTAAAGAAGACATTTCAAGGAAGCTGATGTTTCTGACACAAGTACTACTTATCGATTACTTCTTCTCTTTCTCGTATGTATTGCAAACGCTAACGGAACTTGTTAGCTCGAGTCAATACTTAGTATATTCTCACTAATAATGTTCTTTTTTCCCTAATTCTCTTATACAATTATTCACACATATCCAATCTTTTCTTGAGATATGTTTGTCATTTTTCATTCACGTTTTCGATAAACTACAATACAATGATTAAATTTGTTATATAGTATTATACAATGTTTGTTACAATAAACATTTCCAAAATAATCCTAAGGCTCATCACGATATTAGCCTGACGATCAGACTTTATCCAAATCTGTGGATAGATACTTTTGATAAAAGTGACAAAAATGCAACACGCACATTAATTATGGATCTTTCTCTTTAATTTCTTGCGTTATTGATATAAAATTATGAGTTAAGACAAGAATAAATAAAAAAATCACATAATTCTTATATATGCCTCGAGCGCCCGTACTGAAAAAAAATCCTCTGTCAAAAAGACGTCTTCGTCAATAAAACAAATCTCTATATAGCATGAATTATATAAATCCATCTTTAATATACATGTGATCAATCACATGCATCGTCTTTTGTATCTTGGCTGATATCAACCGACTCATTCTTACTTCAAAGCTTACTCGAATTTAACACCACCAAAAAATCAATTCTAATAATGCGTGTTTAAGGCCCGATTTTTCATTTGATGGTTAACCTGATGATAAAAATTGTATTTTTCTATTTATGATTGATCATTAAACTGATAATTTTGTAGTGAACTTATAAAATTACCACTACAAAACCATTTTAGTAATTAATCATACATAAAGACACAATTTTTTATTTTATCACTGAGTATAGTTAAATATAAATCACAAGTTAATCAGATAACGAAGAATCGGGCCTAAATCGTTTGTACCATGTATTACATTATTTTGAATGCAGTACTGTATTTAGAAATAGACATGATCTATATATAATGTTAACATTGACCGGTACAGCAGCTCAACGCTGAGTATCAATGTAAATCTCTGTTAAGAAAATTCAAAACAAAGTTAGTAACAACTGCTCAAAAACGTACAATAATAGAATATTTCATTAAATAAAACTTCTAATTTGTACACACATATACAATCTCAAAAATTAAACTATCAATATGTGGTAGCCAAAATATCGCAACGAGGACAGAAAATCGCCTCGATTCTTTTTTTATCGTATGTATATATATAATTACAATGTGTAATGTGCGAGTCTGACAATTCTATGCTATGAACAAGCCCATAGTAGCTCAATATAACATTGAAACTTCAGGAAGAGTTTAATCGAGAAGCAACGTAAGCAATTTACACTTCCTTACACCTATTTCTCCATCGGCGTTTATCGGTTAAAAATCATGAATATAGAGATTTGGATTTCGAGGATTTTGAGTGTACGGACGAAGAGTCGCCGTCTCAGTATGAGAGTCTTTAATTGAGTCAGTCGCGTCTTTGTCACGTTCATGGTCGCTCAACTCCTGGGAAAACTCTCTTTGAAGGACGTTTCTGACCTCTTGAGGTATGTCCTCTTCCTTGACCTCTTGCAAAACGTTTTCCAGCTCTGAATTTCTTATGTAAACCAACATATAAGCGTTAGTGCAATGTTTCACAGCCATAGACATGTCCTCATCTTGACCACCGTAGTTGTGTTCAATAGCTTCCTGCTTTGTACATCGTGAGACAACGTCGTCGTCGAACTTACACCACTGTCACAGAACAAATCGAAAAGTTTGAGCAAGATGTTGCAACATAATATAGGACATTTAGATAATATAATTTTTGTTGAAGTGTATAAAAAAAATAGTACATGATTATTCTGAGTAATTACAATCATGTACTCTTTTTGAACTTTATCATAAAATAAATGCAAAAAATGTATGAATAAAGATAAACTAATTTGATTACAATTAAAAAAATAGATTACGATAATTATTATGTCTATACATAATGCGAATATATAGTTGTACAAGTATAGATCAAAATATATTTAATAAAAGATTCGTGAATATATATTTAATTTATATAATAGATGTTAACATTAAATTTAAACATGAAGTCTTTTGCTTACTTTGCCATCGCCAGCAGGATTAATAAATACAACATAATGTCCTCCATGATTATCGCCACTATGAACCAGAACAGCATGTAATGTGTAATCCGCACTTGTTGTTTCTTTATTCTGCAGGTATTTTCCAAGACTAATTTTTTCGTAAAACTCAAACCTTTAAAAATGAATGTACACAACTATATTTTTATATGTCAAAAAATAAAATCAAAGATTTATATTTTTTATCTTTATAGAAAGAAGAATGTTAGAAAGAGACCGACTTCTGCGCAAAAACGTGCAAGTAAACGTGGTTTTTTTTTAAATAAACTTTGATCTGAATATAATATCAATAAAAAATTCGAAGTGGATAGGGAACACTTAAAAAAAAATTAAGCACGAACATAGGATCCAAATTTCAATGTTTTTGCTCAATTTTCGAGGTATTCTCCAAATGCCCCTCACGAACTTTTTAATAATTTTATTGTTTATTGCATCCCGAAGGTTAAAATCAACAAAAAAAACTTTCACTTACATCTTTTTGAGAAAAAATTGGCCCTTTTTTAACATCTTCCAAGAAATTAGAGCAAACTTTTGTCCAAAAAGATATAAGTAAAGAAAATAGTTTTCTGTAGATTTTGACTTCCTGAAAACGATAGTTACTAAAAATAGCGTTCGTAGTGTTTGGGGAACACCTTGAAAATTAATTAACTAAGCAAAAATATTGAAACTTGGATAAATGCACCATGTTCGTACTCAATTTTCATAGTTCCCTAAACACTGAACTTTTTAATAACTTTATCATATCCAGGAAATCAAAATCTACAAAAAAAAACATTCCTTTTTTGAACGGCCCTTTTTAATATCCTTTGTACTTTTTAAAATAAAATCATATTATATGATCATTATAACTAAAATAAGCAAGTTAATGAATTTAAATTTCTTACCTGTCGTTAAATTTGACTGAACAATCCGTAACTGGGTCATACTGAAAACGCATTAAATGTAGATGTAAAACTGGTGGAAACGATGAAAAGATGACGCCTTTTTCCGCTTCCTGTAATCCGTGTTCTCCTGCATCATATTTATTATCGCCATCAAGACTTTCTGTACTCACATAATCACTAAAAGATTCGTAAACTGAAATACAAAAAATGTATTAATTCTTTGTTACTCAAATATTATAGGTAAAAACATAATGTTAATTTTTATACTTACTGTTTTTCTTGCCCTTTATATTTAACTGTATATCATAAAATGTTTCAACCCTTGTGGATTTGTAGTCTATGTTTTTACACTTGATAAATGAGACCATTTTTCCCTCAAACAATTTTGGCACTGTACCTTCCACGCATGTTCCCTTCATTTTGCTCTCCAACTTATCTAACAGCTAAATTTTCACACGATTAGTTGTGTGTATATATGTATATGCACGTGTGTGTATATATGTGCGCTCAATATGTACACATACATATATACAAAGTGTCCCATTTTAATTAAAACAGTCAATTTCTGAAAATTACGAGATTTTACAGAAAAATATTTCAGACAAAGTTGTAAGATTAGAAGGGAGACATAAGAAGATACCACTGATTTGGCCTTGACCTGATCTTGGTGGTCCCATTCAAGGTCGAACTAATGGTACTTTCTTATGACCTCCTTCGGACTTTACAATTTTTGTCTGAAATATTTTTCTCTAAAATCTTGTAAAATTGACTGTTTTAATTAAAATGGGACATTTTATATATACAAAAAATGTATGCAATAAATGTTATATACTAAAAATTCAAGTATATATAAATTCATGCAATAAAATGTTCAATATATTTACCACTCGTAGAAATTCCTGCACATCATGTTGCATGAAAGAATCCAGTGTTTCCCATCCAAAACTTTTGGTTAATTTCTTTGTACCGACAGGCTTGTCGGAAAACTGTAACTCATGAAACACCCTTTGTAAGGCTAATGCAACACTCTTACTCGAATCGTCGCTCTCTGTTGGCATTTTGTATACTGCCTTTCGCAACTAAAGAAAAACAAGGATAAATTAATAAAAGAAACGTCAGATAATTTATCATATATCATAAAAATGCCTTCACCTACTTGATTTGTAAAATAGAGAGTTTGCAATAAAGAATTCATATAACATGTAGCACCCTGATTTTTTAAGCCTACATATCCCGTGTGTTTTTTACTGTCCCAACTAACTCCATGAGGTGCATCAGCCACTACATGAACCTATTATTAAATTAAACAAAACATTATAAAACTGTAATATAAATATGCAATATGAATCTTATGGAATTTCAAGTGTTGTTTAATATTAATTATTACAACTTTCATATATAAATGTCACTTAATTTTTTTAAAAATTCCTACAAAACCAAACACATTTTCTTATAAATTAAAAATTTTATAAATTTTAATAAATATTTTAGGACAAAAAATTATGAAAGAAAACTTAGCTTCCTAGTTCTCCATAAAATTGTCATTCATATATTTGACACTTGTATTAATTCTGTCAAAATTGTGTTTAATATGATATATTTGGTTACAGAAATATTTTAAGACTCCTGAGTAGTCACCACAGCCATATTGAATCGTGATATCAGAAGCGAGAAACGACGCGTTAATTTTTATTGTGTGCTATTTGTAAATAAAGATAATTTGGATAAAAATAATGAGATTGCTTTTTAAAACATTTGTAAAAATACACAAAAACTATGCCTATCCCACCTGACAGTCAGTAAATAATCATAAAAAATGATAAAAGGCACATATAAGGGAAAATAGGCTATATGCATGCGCATTATAAATAAAAGTTTTTTTCATACACTTTATATGCTTTTTATCACTTTTTATGATTGCTTACTGACGACTGTCAAAAGGGATAAGGATAGCTTTTGTCTATTATTACAATTCATCTATTTTTTACATTTGTTTTAAAGCGATCTTATTATTTTTTTTGTTTTATCCAAATTGCCTGTATTTACAAATGACATGTAATAAAAATTAACATGTCATTTCTCGCTTCTGACTCGCTTCAATATGGCTGTGACTATTCAGGAATATCTTAATCTATAGATATTTGTAGATATATTAAAAAATTATATAAACATAATTATAGCTTATTATGATATTATAATTATAGCTATAAATTTCATTTGTAGAATAAATTATAATAATAAATATCTAAATGGCTCAAAAGATTAAAATTTAAAACAAAATCAACAAAGGGCAATAAGCCAAGTACAAAGTTAGTGCGTTTAAAAAAAAAAGTATTAAATTGCAATATTTTCTCAAAACGTTCTGATTCACATCAAACTATTCTCAGTAAATAAAGCTTAAAAATAAATCATAGTTAATATTGTTTTGATATAATAACTAAAGTAACAGATAAAACTACATAGAATGAGAAATATTGAAAAAAATTGTATTATTTAAAACATAAGTTAATAAAGATATGCTACAAACCTCAAGAGTAATTGAATCGTCTTTTATGAAACCTCTATCAGGATCTAGAACATCTTGCCATGTCATAAAATGACTAAAGCCCCAATCATTCTCTTTACTGTAGAACAAGTGTTGAATTTCTATAAAAATATAACACATTATATTGCAAAATGTGTCAATTTCATTCTTAAATCAGAACTAATGCCGGTCAATATATAATTAATAAATGTATTAAAGTAGGTATGGAATTTCATTTACTTCTGCTAAATGGTTCTTGTCCTTCCTTGCAAGAAAGAAGACGCAGTTCAGCAACAGCGTAACAACTCCAAGATGTAGATTCGCTCTCTCCGTTACATTGAAGAAAAAATCCAAGAGATCTCTGTGGTTGTCTCTCCTGTGTTTGACTTGACCGTGGCATCACCATTATTTTCCATGGTAAGTTACGGACATAACATGCAGGGGACAATTGTGAATCCTTCATCTTAGATATATTCTCAACAGTATATCGAAAAGTAGCTTCTGATCGGGCTTCATCTAATATAGAGAAAAGAAACATAGAATTTATGGAATAGAATAAAAATAATAAATATATAAAAGTTAATATCAAATAGACAAAAGCAAAATTAATACCATTTAAAAAGAATAAATTTTGTTTAATTTATTAGACACAGTCATACACATACATATATTGCAAGATTATCTCTAAAATAATTTAAATAAATAAAATGATATGAAACATCATCAGATTCAGCATACCTTCCTCCATTTCTTGATCTTGAACTATACATGCTAATTCTTGTTCACCATTTATAGGACGGTTGTCAGTTCCGTCTCCCCCACCATCATTTGGGGTTTCTACAAAAGTGTTAATATTTATGTTTTTAACACTAAAATAAACCTAATAAATATTTTAAAATAGAAAAAGATTTACATATAAAATAATAAAAATAAGAAATTTAACTTTATATTTCACAGTAAAAATTTGATAAACAATAAATGCTTAGAGAATTTTATTAATTAAACAATTTGCAACATATGTATACCATACTTTTAGATATCAAATTATATACTAATAATATAAATATCATATATCTGCACAAGTAACTGCAATATAATTTAATATTGATACGGAACAATTGGTTTACCTAGAGAAACATGGCAATTCTGAAAAATCTTTTCTAAACAAATATAAAAATTACAATGTATGGAATAACACTTCATGTGGAACGCTTTGATGGCAAATATAATGATTACAGTAGAGCTGGAAGAAAACAAAGAGAAAACAAACAAATTGGCCACCAGCTGAACATTATAAAGATAAAGTTATAAATTGATAAGTCACATTTCGCAGCAGCACTAAGTACACTGTTTCTTTCACTCTAAATTTAATATTATATAAATAATATAAAAATATACAGAATCGCGCGCACGCACGCGCCAATTTATCACCAATTTTTACATATACTGTGGAAAAGGTTGATCAAATATTAACCGTTCAGCAGCCATACAATAGTACAATAAGCTTTATCAGTAATGATTACATTTATATATCCACGAAAATTTCTGATAATGGAACTATGACGTAATGTCTCGTTCTATATTATCTATCTATAATCGGATACATTTAATTTGCCATCAACGCGCGTTATTTTTAAGATTTGTTGCATTGTTTATTGTATTATTTATTATATAGGTAATATTTCACATCACTCACGCAAAAAGAAATATATTATACTCCTCATATCGAATAAAATAATAAAAAAAAGGCTTAAGAAAGTCGAATAAAACAATATTACAATATCGTATAATTTGCGTAACGACATTGTTAACGCGAGCCACGGTTCGACTATATAAAGACTATACTTTATAAGATTTGCTCGACCTTCTTCCACAATTGTAAAAAAAAATGTTTATCTATAAAAAAACTAACACATATCTTTCCATTTGTATGTAAATAAATAAATGTACTTGTAATTATTTTCTAATATTCAATGTCAATAATACGACATATTCTTGTAAATACAAGTCGAAAGTGAAACGAAAATTTGACGAGCGCTAGTGGCGCTAATTAACATTATAGGAAGCCAATCACGAATGCCCGATATCAAGTCACCGTGCTAGCAGAAGCAACGCGCGAAATAAATAAATTGCTCGCTAGGTCGTTCTGTACAGTAATCTGTAGATGCATGAAAAAGTTTGCACCATGAAACTTTCCTCTAAATATAAAAACGATTTCGCAAACACGCGCTCACGATCTTACGATCGGGCGAAAAAAAAGAAAGAAAATTCGAAGAAAGTTGGGGAAGAGCTCCGACATAGAAGAGCCCTCCTCCCCCCTCTCTCTCTCTCTCTCTCACACGACACATACCACGTACGCGCGCGCACATACATACATGACAAATACTCCCTTGCGCTCTCACCCCCTCCCTCCCTCACTCTTTCTCTCTCCTTCTTCCTTTCTCTTTCCTTATTGAAAGCTCTGGCACTTACTTCCCAGCAAGGCAAGATGAGAAAGAGAGATAGAGATAGATAGATATATGTATACAAAGTACATACATACAGACAATATACATAGCTGCAGCCACACACACACACACACACACACACATACATATGTATATATATATGCATGTGTGTGGCAAAATAACTAGAAAGATAGGGTGTAGATGAAAAGATAGATAGATAGATGAATTGAAGAGATAGATGGAGAGGTGCACTCACCCTCCTGTGTGTCCATCTCTTCGACCTCGTTAACCTGAATAGGTGCGAGGCTGAGCTGCTTGAGATTCTCCTGATCGTTTACGTGGTTCATCGCGAAGCCGATGTTGATGGTCGTTTTGATGGCGCCGGGTACCTCGGTGACGGCCTCCGCCGTCGAGGTTACGTTGTTCGCGTTGGTCAGCGGCTGCTGCTGCTGATTGTTCTCCGCTGTTAGCTGCGCGGTGGCAAACGGTACGCGATTCCGGTAAGGAGGAGGAGAAGAAGGAGGAGGTGGAGGAGGAGGAGTCGTCGTTTTACCGAGCGCCTTTCGGTTCTGTACCGTAGCCAATGAAGTCCGATCGGTCCGATCCTGTTGTTGAAGTTGTTGCTGCTGTTGCGACGGTGGCGACGATTGTCGTTGTTGCTGATAATGCGATTGTTGCAACTGCTGTCGCTGTTCCGTTCCTACGATTACCCGGCTACTATCGAAGCCTACGTCGCTACTCGACAGCGACGTCGCTTTACCGCACTCCGTCGATAGATGTTTGCTCGCAGTTCGCCCAATTTCTGCGGCCATCAAGTGCCCCCACTCGTACGGGGGACGCCCACAGCATATATTCCACCCTCGTATTATTAAATCGCCAAATACGCGACTCGAGTACCCGTACTACCCGTTGTACATGTATTCTATATTCCTTATTCCCTTCGTAAATCGTACGCGCCTCCGAGTTGCTCCGAGTGTCGCCACGACTGCGATCAACTGCGATCAGTGCGATTTTCGCGGTGGTGGCGACGGTAGCAACGGATTTCTGACGATGTTTGTGGTAGGTGGTAGTTGCGACTGCTGCCACTGCTGGCTGGTACTGCTAGTGGTGCTCTAGCTAGTGACGAGACAGCGGTGGTATTGGTGATGCCGATGATATTAGTTCGTAGTCGAAACTCGAAGCTCGGAACGGCGGCGGCGATGGTTGGTCGGTTCGTTGGTGGTGGCGACGACGGTCGACGACGGCCGTCTCGCCTCTCCTCTCTCGTTCCGGCGCGGCGCCTCGCGCACCGACCTCTCCCCCTTCCTCTCTGCCGTGCGCGCGCGCAAAATCCCAATCCGTGAAACTGTTTCCGCTCCGCTGTGCGCTTTACCGGCGCTCAGCGACGACGCGATCACCGACTACCGGATTACGCCGACGGTTGTATACGAGGACGACGATCGCAGACGACGTTGACAATGTTGCGCGCCGTTATTCACTTCGCGTTCTTTCTCTCCCTCTCACTCTCTCTCTTTCGCTCCTTTTCCCCCTTTCACTCTTCCTCTCTCTCTCTCTCTCTCTTTCTTTCTCTACTCGAGTCTCGAATCTGCTAGTCGTCGTCGCCACCACGGTTCTCCTCGATCGAGCTCACTCTCTAATTCTCGATCGACTTCGCTATGACTTCCGTTTGCGAGCGAACCCACCTGTACCGTTGTTCTCGCAACAGATCCTTTCTTCTCTACTTAATTATTTCTCACCTTCCGGCTCGTGAAGCCGGACGTTTATTACGACGAACACGAACGAATACGCGCGGGCCGATCCCGTACGTCGCGATCGTCGTTCACGGATCTCTCTCTGTCTCGCGAAAATAAACAAAATGGCGGCGACTCGGCTGCACGGTTGCGCTCACAGATTTCTATATATTACACCAGACCGCTAACTCCCTACATTTTCCTTACGTAAAAGTGCTGCCTGCGCGAATTAGGTGCGCGGAATAAGACCATCACGTGACCGCACACGTATAGAAAAGAGATGCCAACAGGTCATGTGACCAGCACCCTCGTGATTGATTCGAGTATACATTCGTAAATTTTCCTAGATGCTCTGGTCCAACTTTACTAGGGCTATGTTCCAAAATTTCGGCCCTACGCACAATAGAAGGAATAAGGAATTAGGAATAAAAAATAAACAATTTCAGCCTATCAGGAACCGTGTATTCCGATGTATCCGATTTTTGATAGGTTAAAATCTTAATATCTATTCCTAATAGGTCTGTTCTTTTTGGCTGAACTTTTGCGCTAGTTCATCTTTCTTCCTCTTCTTTCCTGCTGGAGAGAAAAGAAAGATGAACTGGTGCAAAAGTTCAGCCAATGAGAATAGACCCAATATTTCCTCCATTGTGCACAGGGCCTCACGGGGCATGACTGACTCTACCCTCACTACGAATGTCACTAGTCAATGTGGCCGAAAAAGGGAAATCCTAAAGGTGTCTTTTCATGTTAAAACAGTGAAAATTACTAGGAACAAAGCGATGTGAGTGGCATGTGCAATTAAACTATGTCCAAGTATACCGCTCCCATTACAAATTTAATGGCCTTAACAGAAAGGAGGATTTTGTTCGCCTATATTCCCGATTGCACACACCACTCACATCAATTGGTGCCTAGTCATTTTTCACTGCTTTACCAATAATAATATTTTATTTTTAAGTTAGCCAATTAGCGCAATATGCGACGTATGCAATCGGAGCCCTCTTCCAATGGAACACTTCTCATCCGGTAACACACAATCGCTAACACCAACTCGCACTGAGCGAATAAGAACGCATGTTTAGGATTTAGATATATTTTTGTTTGCAGTCGAACGGAGGAAATTCAAAATGCTTTCTTAGAGTCATTTTCACCATCGTCGGTTTACTTAATCAGCCTAGTAACTGTAATAAAATAGAAAGAGATGGAACTATTTCTATCTTTTGACCCTTAGTGAAAAACATTCTCACATTTTCAAAAATTTAACACATTTCAAATTTATGAATATATCTGATCATCTAAATACCTTAAACTTCTTCAAATTTTTTAACTCTTCTTTGGAAATTATAGAAATCTTAGGACATTTCAGAATTCATATACATAAAGAATTCTAGAAGAAAACGTAGACTTTTTCAACACTTGTAAAAAATGTTCTATCTATATATAAAAAATCTGAGAAAATTTAAAAAAATTTATAAAATTATATATAAATTTTGAGAAATTAGATACATAAAAAATTATAAGAAAAAAATTTACTTTTAATAATTTAATTTTTTATTTTAGTCCGTCGACACGCTGGGGAGTAGAGATAGATTTGAGTAAGAGTTGTAGATAATATTTCGACGACGGTGGGTTTTGAATTGTTTATTTAAACATACAAGCACATACAGAACAATAGTTGAGTACATTCAAATAGAATTTCTACCGTTCATCATTTTGGCGAGCGTCATGAGAATTCATCTCATCCGTATAGGCGTGTATTTCTTCATATACGGCGCATTTGATAAAAAAAAAGTTTATATACCTTGCGCTGATGATTTTTGGATCGTGTCATTTGTGCGCTTTTAATCTGCGATTATTAATTAGATGCATGTACGCACATACATATGCAGTTTTCCGATAATAAGATATCACTACACAGAAATAATGGTTTTGCTAGAATATCTAAAACTTTAACTATTGATGCATACACAGATTTGAAAATAATTTTATTGGACCATTAAAATAATTATGTAACATGCTCAAACTTAGCGCTGTTTCAAAGATTTGTTGCGCCCGAGTGCAGAGCGTCCCGCCGCCACTTTTTTTTATCAGACAATCGGAATCAATCTTCATTAAATACAAATGAATTCTACACCACAGTTATAATCAATATAAAAATCACACACGCACACACATGCACTGCACCCGTTGCATCCCGGCTTGAAACGGCGCTGCTCGAACTGATTGCGAGAATCTTAAACTTTTTGCGTTATCATTATGCTTGAACGTTTATTTTGATAACTTAATAAAATTATTTTCAGGTCTGGGGAAAATTTTTCTTAGAATTCTTCACATAAAATGTTATAAGAATTTTTTCTACCAAAGATGAAAAAGTTGAATTTTCAGATGATTCAGCAAAACTGTTTTTTCCGTATAGGATTCAGCGATAGGATCTGACAATCTTTTCAAGCTTGTAAAAAGGTTATAGGATTTAAAGCAACAAATAATATCGCCACTAAATTTTTTCTACTATTTTCAAATACAGTATAAGAACAATCTGTTTTTTTTTTTTTTTTTCATAAATTTTTGGTATTTTCAAAATATGTCTAATATATCCTTAAATTTCGATTTTTATCTATTTCTTTATATTCACATAAATGAGGCTACCGCAAGGAAAAGATGCTCAAATAAATTTTAAAATACTTTTCAAATAAACGTTCAAATTAAAAATAACAGCAAGTTCCTAAAATTAAATTAATGTTAAAGTCTACGAAATAATGAACAATTTTTATGAAAAACTGCTAGTATTTAGATGTACAAACATTTAATTCATATAAATCAATGACAATATTAAAAGATTATTTCTTTTAGATCTTATCATTCCCCTTTATAACAAGCGTGAAAAAATTATCAGATTCAACTGCTTGACCCTGTATGTTTGAAAATGTATCACAGTACAAGAGTACGAAGATAACTGAAAAAGGGGCAGGTAGCATTATTCAAATCCATGATGCAAGTAGATAAGATGTGCTCATAACTAAGACGAGTTTGCACATAGCAACGCGCTGACCCTATTTTAAACATACATCATACAATTTGAAATTAATACAAATAAATAAGTAATAAGCGGCAATAAATAAGTGAAATAAATAATAATAATAAGTGAATAATAAGTAATAAATAGTAATGCCGACGTGTTGTGTGAAAGGTTGCAAAAGTCGCAGTAATCCACTAACAAAATATAAATCAATAAGTTTTGTTTCGTTTCTTAAAGACGAGATATATAGAAAAATATATATAGAAAAATAGAAATCCAAGTCTCCATATGAATAATATCAATATAAAACATGGTATGTTATAAATGTTATATTTTAACATGCTCTACAATATTAAATCGTATCTGTCATAGCAGATGTATTGAAACAAAATCCACTGAAAAAGGATCAAGTTCTGATTGACTGCAACAAATATACGCAAGAACACACCTTGTCTACTTGCATCACGATTCAGATCATGCACTACAAAAACCAAATATCCCAAAAAAATTGCTGTGCATGTATTAAATGATTTTTACCTAACAAACACGCTTATTGAATTAAATTTATATGTTTTACAACAGACAATACAACAGGTAATAACCTATGTTGTATATGATTTCTACATCTCATGTGAGAACTTAATTGTAATACTCTTTTGCTGCTTCTCTGATTGACGCGATTTAGATAAGATAATCAACATGTTACAAGCTAAATTATAATGTTTATTAAAATATGCTTACTCTCCAGGAATTTTTATTTAAATATAACTACAAAAGAGACTACAACATAGATTACTTATTGTACCGCATTCTTTCTTTCTTTTCTAACTAAAACGAAAATCCGAATGAAATATAATTTTAAGAAAATTGTACGTGCACAGAGATCAAGGATAACTACGTATATAACGATTTAAGTAAGGCATGATTAAGGCAACCTGCTCAGTAGACTTAAAGATCTTGACCCCGACAATTTTTAGTCTCGCTTCATTGTAGAAGGCTTAGAAACACTAAAAGATGTTTTTAGGCACCTTGTTTGGCAACCTGTCTACGCAATTACAAAGAAGTCATTACAAGTCACTAAAGTATGCATTTGACGCATGACACGAAATGCCTCTATCAAGACATATATAGTAATATTTTTCCAATTTAAGATTAATCTTTTGATTATTTGGAGTGCGAATACTCCAGAATTATGTTCCAACTTTGAAATTTTGCTCGCGTAATTGAATACATTATGTTTGATAATAAAAGCGATATCATTAAATCACATCTTTTCTTTAAAATACTTATAATTTAATATCACCTAAACTTATTGCCTAACATGTAGTACATCGTATATTTGTCTTTTTTTAATACTTTATGTTTTAATTAGGTCTAAGCACTTTTTTCTATTAAACATTTATATATGTTCTATAATATATTTAGTGGAACTTTTTAAGCGTATTAAACACCACTCTAAATATTGTGGAGTTTAATATTTATATATAATTTGTTTATAGTTCATATTGTTCATCTCAACATGTAAACATTACGTTATTTTGTTAATAATTTGCATATTGCTTCTTTTATCAAACAGTAATCTTTGTTACTGTTCTTTTCTCCAGTTAGTATATTAGAGAGAAGAGAGGAACATACAGCATTCCTTAGATACATACTGGGCCTATTTCATGTATTAGAATCTTAGATATAAGATTTTTAAGAATAATGTGAAATATAAAACAACCAAAAAGTAACAACAAAATAAATTTATCATAAAGACAAATCAATAAGATTATAATTGAATTGAAAAATATATATGTTTGTACTTAAGAAATTGTATAATAATTTTAATACTCCTAACTAAATGAATAATGTAAATAGGAGTATTACATAGTCAATTACTTATTACATGATGCGATTCACATCACATATTTCTGATATAGCAAACGTTAGATCTAATACTAGTTTAGCCACCTTATTTGTGCATATATTATTATTCTGTAACAATATTGTGTTTGGGGTTTTATAATTTGCCATTATAAGTCATAATTTGCCATTATTATCTAGAATAAGTTAGAAATAGGGTCACTCATTATCAAAGAGCATTATCTTTTATTTAACGCTATAGACTATTTAAAATCGATAACACAACACCATTTAACACGACCATGCTATTTAGCAATTAGTTACTAACGTATAGTTACTATACATATATATATATATATATACGGAGTGCCAGTCACCTTCGCGTCTTCTGTCAATAGTAGATTCCTGAAATCATTTCAAGACGAAAAATCTAATACCAAAAAATGTGGAGGTTACAATAGTTTTTAAATAAGAAAGGTTTAAAGTTACCCAATTTTTAAACTGTCCAAAATTCGTGTGCTTAGGCATAGCATATTGCACAATAGTGACGATTAGTGTTGTCAATTTAGTAGAATTTCTACAATTCTATCAGATTTGAAGATTTCTTTTTTACCGGGAGATTTTTTGGGAGTACAAATGTTTAGGAGGATTTCCGGGTAACTTTTAGAAAGAAAAATACAAAAAAAAAACTCAAATTATAGCTAAAATATTGAGAAAATCGCAACATGAGAGATAACTTTTGAACAAACTTAGAAATATTGATGTTTTCAAACATTAATTTTATTCTCTTCTATTCTTCTAAACAACTTCACTAAGGTACAATGTGCCATGCCTGAGCACGCAAATTTCGAACAATTTAATTGGTTAATTTGAAATCCTTCTCATTTAAAAACTATCTGCAGCCTCGACATTTTGATGTTAGGATTTTCTTATCAAAATGATCTCAAGATTGTTATTAACAAATGTCATGCAAAGTCTAGGGCATCCTGTGTATATAATGCGATGTGAATCCTAATAACTATACCAACATTTCACCATGTGAGTTGAATTATCGACTACAACTGGAAGGAGCATAAGAGACTACGCGTTGATATAGCTATTAAGATTCTGTATATATAAAACGTTTAGGAAAAGATATTCTACTGTTTTGAATCTTTTTTTAAGACTTTACATAAGGAATGGTCCCAGTAAATAAGAATATAAAGAATTAATAAACAAACGTATTATTTAAATTTTGCGAATATTATCTAATATAGGGATCCCTAAAATGTGGGTCGCGTTCCATTGATGGATCGTAAATCGATTTTTGGTGAATCATGAAAAATTTTAAAATATTAAATTACATTTCATTATATTAAGAGTGCTGCTCCCTTTCACTTCGTATATGTGAAATTGACTTTTTAACGATTGGCAGGAATTAAAACTAATTATAAAATAAGTTATAATTGTCAACCTCTTTGATCTGAAAATAATTCATATCAATGTTGACATTAAGATTATTATTAATAGATATAGAAAACAAGCGTGTATTTCACGTACATCTCATACGTTTAAAAAATATATTAATAAAAGTATATTTAACAAAAAATTAAAAAAGAGCAAAATTAAAATTAAGTATAAATTAATTAATTCTTATCCCCCTCCCTCCCCCTGCTTTTCCATATCCACTAAAGCTAGGTGGGTCGTGGAGTTTGCTATTCTACAAAGTGGGCCGCGATTCAAAAAAGTTTGAGAAACTCTGCTCTAATATCTTATTGGCCCAATAATTTGGTCTACAATTCGTATTACATCTAAATTAATTGAACTTAAAAACTAGAAAACTCATTTTATACAAAATTTGACCTATAAATTGTTGTCATTATTCCATTAGTAGCAATAAATCACATAAATATATATCTCAATAATTATAAAATTATTTTTCATCACTATAATTTTTTTAACGTCTGAGATGTTAGTTACGTTTTGATAAATACTGCAATACAGAATTATTATAAAAAATTTATCTAACTAAACTAGCAGTGTTACAAAATGAATGTAATTTTTTTGTAATTTTTTTTTTTGACAAAGTCGGCCACATAAAGCCAAATAATATTTTATCTCTCTAATGTCTGTGGCACAATATGAATATATCGACGATACATTTATAAAATCCTCATCTAGATTTTATTTCATTAAACGAGTAATTTATTTCACTGGTTGACTAGACTTTTACGGTGTTCATTCGTAATTGTAATTTATTATACAAATCTTACTAAAAAAGTATTTCTTGTCACCGCTATAAAAATGGACAGACTTAGCGTACAGAGTACATAAATCGTACAAAAGAAATGTGACATCTATTGTAAGAATGGTATAAAGCGATCATTCTTTCATACTGCCTGTTATAATAAAAAAACAAATCTTTATCTATTAGTACATTACCCATTCTGCTGATACATTCTCACAATAGCTTCTAATTTCTTTATTGAATTGAACAAACTTTTGAAGTTTCAAGAGAATCATCCATCGCCGCCGCACGTCTTCTAATACCTTCCAGATATACTTCACGATTGAAAAGTCCAGCACCGAGCGGAATTCTAAAAATAAATAGCAGCATATATAGATTGTATCTAATACATACAAAAGGATTCAAGCTGTATGACCATCTCTTCAAACGTCAATAAATAACAGACACGTACGTATCGATACCCGGCCTCAATGTGGTTTTAAAGACTCCCCAGACTGGCTTGTGATCCGACGTGCACATACTTGGAACAGAATCATATATCAAGCACTCAATAACCCCATCTTTAGAACTAGAAATCTCGTGGCTAACGCGTCTAATATATCCTCTGGTGTGACCTTTCCCTCTGAAAAGAATCCTGTCAGTGTACGCGGGAGTGCGTTGCTTGCTGCTAGAATCGAAATTCTGCGTTCCCGGATCGTATTTGTAGGTGGGAGGAAACATAATTGGAGCTTCTTCGAAACCGCGCAACACTGCGCCTTCGTTTAGGATATTTTTCAACTGATCTTTGCGCATGTTTATCGGTGATTCTTGTGGAAAACATGTATTTGTGATCCATTGAATCACCTCCTCTCTCGGTTGAGCTAGACGGAAGTTTAAATCACCGCACCAAAACACGCAATCAAAATTTTGAGTTACATCTATAAAAAATAAACGATATATATTTATTACATACAATGTATAAAACTATTAAAGCTTTAACGTTTAGCATTAATACCTTTGCTTTTGTGCCGGATAGGTAGCTCTTTAGGTAGATCAAGATTTCTGACGATTCTCTTTATATCGTTGACCCGTTCTTTTACCTTGTCTTGATGTGCGGTCAAATGAGCGGTAACAAAGAGAAAGCTAGTGCCAAATATCATGAGAGCTATAGCCACTGCGCCTTTCGTTCTGAATGCTGTTCCAGTTCTCGTTGAAAAGTTATCCTCCTCCGGAATAGAGCAGAACCAAATCAAGTCCCGTCTTATAAATAATGCGAGGTGAAGTGTACCGAGATTACTGCTAGTTAGTAGCACGTGCGAAGGACCGACAGTTTCTTGCAGAGCTGCCTCCCACTCATGTCGTTCGGAACATGACTCTTGTGTTCCTATAGCTAACAAATCGGGAACAGTCTCTATGTCGGATGGCAACATAAAATCGTTCAATTCCTTTGGCGGAGTCTGACCATTCATGTTCCACGTGCCGATAAAAATTTTTAATTCTCGATTAGGCAATACTTTCTCAAGTTCCACTGGTCCGAGTAAGGAATTGGCGGCGATTCTTCCATGAAGAAAATTCCTACAAAATTCAATTATTTTTAGCCATCGGATAATGATCATTTCAGATAATTTTCTGAAGAAACATATACCTTTCCCGTGCTTTCTGAGTAGGAATTAAATTAAGTACTTGTGCAGCAAGTAATGACTGCTTTGCCAAGCTATCCATAGACGCTCCTGTCGTTTGACGAAAGTAACGATTCTTTTTAGACAGAGCATCATGGGACGTTGAACGTGGCTTATGCTGGATCGGTGCACTTTTAATAGAATCTGGACTAGAATGTCTCATAGAGCTTGTAGGTGAGTCTACGATCAAGTTATCCGCAGATCTCCTATGAAGCAATCTACGACGTAATTGTCCTGATATACTCGGCGATAGCGATCCGGAGGAAGAATATTCACCTGAAACAGTTTAAAATTATACATTACGCGTGAGATTCTATTAATGGAAATTGTGCGTTGTAATTGCGCAAAAGAATCATCCATTACATTTCGAAAGCAAAAAATATACACAGAACATATATACTGATGGAGCAAATACATTTTGTGCCTAAAAATTTATCTGCATAACAGATTATAGCATTCCGTTGTAATGAAACTAAATTGTTTCAATTGCCGCCTACTGCAGTCTTGGCACGTGCAGATTCGTAATACGATGAAATTAGATAAGATTTGTTATCATTTGACTAGATATAAATATCTTGAACTCGTCTTTTGAAATTAAACATATATATGTTTATGTACATCAGTAAAACCATTTAATTATTTGATTAATATATTTGGAAAAAGAACAGCGCCAATTGTTACTTGAATTTAAATCAAGCAATTTATCAAATTGGCTTTAAGTAGTAGTACTGTACTTGTTCTAAATCTAACATAAGTAGCCTATATTTAACTTAAACAACTATATAAAACCTACATACAATCACCCTATAAAATATATAAGTATGTACACATACTTCCTAGTAATCTAAGTTAATTAGGAAAAGATAAAGATACGTAACATACAAAAAAAAAACAATTATAGCTGCGCACGAACAACATCACAGCATTAAATGTATTATGTTTCTAATCTAATCCAGACATAAAATAATTGTATATACGGTTTCTTAATAGAACTAAAGTATGCAGAATACACGTTGCCAATTAAATAATTTTTTATAATGCTGAAGAAAAGAATTCAATAGTTTGTAAGAACAAAATGTATAAAATACTAGCAAAAACAGAAAGAATTATACATTTTAAGCACCGTATAAATTTCGTATATCATTTTGTACCTTTTTTCTCTGGTTTTTTGCAATCAGTATTATGATACTGAACCATACTGTAAACATCTGTAGGATTGTATAACTGCCGTTCCATTTCCAGGAAGAAATAAGTGATATATTTTCCCTTTGTAAAGTACTCATCCTTAAAGTATTTTTGAGTTTTCTCAAACTCAATCAGATGTTCATTTTCATCTTCTGAAGAATCTTCGAACGAATCTTCCGTTGAGTCTGCAGAGAAGTCACTATCTTCACTACTCTCTTGAGAAATCACCTTTGTTTCCTTTACTAAAAATTTACGCGTACCGCTCGTAATGTTAGCATTGTTAAGAGATTGTAATATTGCGTTTTTAGAGTCAGAACTGTAACTTTTCGTTCCATTATCGTGATGCGCCTTCCCAATATCTCCTAGAGATAACTCTGGATAACGAGAATTTACTGTATCGTTATCTTGATTTAGAAAAGTAATTTTTGTATTCATATGTCTGTCCGATCCTAATTTATAATCCAGCTGCTTATTTTTTGTAACGTTCTGATGATTCTTTTCATTTATGTCATCATCTACATTAGGAAACCTGAAACTTTCACTTTTTATAATATCTACGTTTTTACAATTTTCTGATAAATTCTTATCAATATGCGTTTCTTTTCCAGACGAACTATTTCTTGAAACTGTTACACGAATTTCACTGTCAACAGCTTTTGCAATTTTTTGATCAGAACTACAAGATGCACCTCCCATATGATCAGTTTGCCTATCGTCAAATACTTGTTTCTGCTTATTATGGAAATCTGACTGTTCTAACTCGTTTTTCTTCTTAAATATGCCACGTAACTTGTTAAGGAAACTTTTCCTTCTCTTTTTGTTCGACATTTTCGGTAGATTACTCATATTCTCATTGATCAAGAAAAACACATGCACGTATCTCTCAAAGATAAACTTTACTAACTCCACGTCAACTGGAAGCATTATCTATGCCATGTATAGTGAATATACGCTTGAGAATGTAAAAGATGGAGGGGATGTTCAAGGTTACTTGAGCATCATCAAATCACATTGCAAAATACGCATAGGAAAATAGGAGTCATTTAGTTGAAATTAGATATGAGGTAACCAAAGATTTTTTTTCTCTTTTCCCTCCACATTATTGTAGAATAAATTAACATTATTCTCAATGCTTACTATTTCGTTAGTGCTGATTTACTTGCTTGCCATAACGCCACCTTCTTAAAGAGTTGTTTAAATTTGTGTTAAAAAACTTCGTCCATTATATGTGTGTGTGTGTGTGTGTGTGTGTGTGTGTGTGTGTGCGCGCGCGCGCGCGTGTGTGTATGAATATAGGATGTCTCCTAATTATTAAAACAGTGCTCATGTGTCTAAGATATTTTAAAGAATTCTTTATCAAATATATTAAAGATGTTTCTTTAAAAAATCTTAAAGATGTCTTATGCGTCGATTTTAGACATTCTGCTTATTGAGTAACTAAAAAACTTACAAAAATTACAAAAAATAGAGGACTAATTTTTAACATTTCTATATTGTTTTATCTATAAAATAGTATATAATTAATAATTGTGCGCGGCAAAATGGACGAAGTTCGTTAACATACTTGACGTGTCCTAAACGATTCACCCAAATTTTTGTGTTAATTTAACACAAGATTTTATAATGTAACACAGATATTGTGTTAAACATTAACACAAAAAATGTAACAATTAACACTTTCATACAATTTGAAAAGAAAAATTGTGAACGTATCTTTCTTCAGTAAAATTAATATTTATAATGTGTTAAATTAACACATACATTCATCTTTTATTCATTAGAATAAAACTTTAATTTAAAATACATTTTAAACTGTATTATAAAGTTAGAATGTACGTTTTAAAACTATATTATTTTTATGTTATTTGTCTACTTACTCAAAAATGATTTAACACTAAGAAAAGTGTCAAACATCAAAATAACATAAAATATTCAAATAACACAATCACATTATGTCAAATCAACACTCAGGTATATTAAAAATACAACACAAAGAAACAAGAACCGATTTTAATACAAGTACAGAATGGTTTTTACTGTGTACACAGTTAGAAAATTTGTGTTAAATTTAACACATTTTACATGCCCCAAACAGTCCATTCAAATGTCCACTTTTTATGTTAATTTAACACGAGATAAATATGTTAGAAAGCGACACAAATATTATGTAAAAAAATTAACACAAAAAAATAATAGTGATACAATTTGTAAGCAAACTGTAGGAAACATGTTTTTTTCAATAAAATTAACATGTACAATATGTTAAATTAACATGTAATTTATATTAAAATTTACGTTTTAAAACAATTTTATGTTATTCGTTCACTTACTCATAAATTGTGTTATTTTAACACTAAGAAATGTTAAATATCAATTTAACACAAAATATTTAAACCTAATCACATGCGTCAAAAATTCAACCAAAAATTTTAACAAGGATTTGAGTGGACCGTTTTCAACACAAATATAAAAAATTGTTTACCATATAGTACACAAATTTCATACCTAAATCAGTAATATTCAAGTGTTGTGATACATTTGTGAAGCTTACCTTCTATATAAGTAGTAGGACGCTGTTCCTTTCCCATTGCTACATTACTCCTTCTGACTACAGTCTCTTGAATTGCTTGAGCCTGATCCTTGGCCTGATCGTTTGCAACATGCATTTCTTCCTCCTCAACTGGTACGTCCGTTTCATGATCCACATTGATGGAAGCTACCTCGGATTTGACCGAGGTATGACTCAACGTCATCGGGGAAAGTCTGCTAATGGTTAAGCTCTGGGGTGGTGTTCTGCTACGTTCAGTCATAGCACAGCACAGGGACAGTTTGGTGCTAGTTTGAGATCCATGCTGCGAGCTCTCTATCTTGGAGTTTCTATTTGAATCCCCGTCTTTGTACGAGGACTCCAAGCAGCCGACCTTGGTCTTTTTATTCATGAGCATGCGACAGAGGGACTTTTTCTTCTGTTTTGATTTTGGAGAAACCTCTGCCTTATTTGAAACGCTAGAGACGTTATTTCCCTCACTCTGATCCATAATACTCGCAGCATTTAACACGAGATCACTGATTATATCCTTTTATATTATCCCTCTCCGTAATCGCTCGTTAAATTACATCATCAATTTTTATACGTCTCTAATTATAGCTAAAAAAAATTCTCTTATCATAGTCGCAGGATGCGTTGAAATATATCATAGAAAAACTCTCAAAAATATTCTTTCTATATTTCAAATTATGGATAAGCTCTTAACGAATAGAAAATTATATAATTTACAAGTAATCATTTCCGTTTGCAGCCATACAAAGTGAAGTACATCCAATATACAAAATGTCTCAAATCTCAATAGCATTCAAGCATGTCGTTCGTGTGCCGCTTTGCACTTGATTATCAAACCATATATAATAATATCTAAATTCTGCGGGATCAATTGCGTAACGCGTTACAACGTGTCCTGTAAGTATTCATGAACTATAATACCCTTTTCGATATCAATTCAGTTCCCTATTGATTCGAACGTTCAGTCATGTGGGAGGATATCCAATGGTGATATACCGCAAGTTGACATATCGCATTTGGGGTATCGACGAGTGATACTTTTGGCATTTGAACATTTGGACTAGAACAGATGACTAGAATCGGGTCGGCTAAATGTGCAGCCGAGCAAGACTCGAGTACGACGTACTCCATGCGGATCTGTACGTTCTCTCCACCGACGCGTTTCCCCTTTTTTCCTTCACGAGCTACGTCGAGCAACTGCGTCGTTTTTCATTCAACATCACGATCATCACGATCGCCTAATCAAACTTATGAAATCTCGGGCGTCCTCGTCGCCGCGTTTCACATTAGTCTAATTAATTGACTTGACACCCGAAACACTACTGTGTCTCCTGATCTCTGCGTCCTCACGGTCCATCTCGGTCAGATAAGAACGGTCGAACCAACGCGCATTGATTTATTAGTTTAGCTGACCACCGGTGCGTTCACGAGACTCGGATCGCGGACTTGCGGTCAGACCAGAAGCGTCAACACGTCATTCACGCGTTGAAATAACAAACCATTGAGGCGCGAGACTCGATCGAATGTGGGCACCCGGACCTCGGCCTCCATCCCCGTAACGGCGACGATGCGTCGGGCACATTGCGCGATCAGAAGTCGTGCTGAGTTGGTTGAGCACTCATTTCTCCCTTTTTTCCCGTTCTTCCTTCATCTTATCTATTTCCCTGGAAGAGTAAACGAGGCTCACAGTGCTCGCAATTCGCATTCGCGCCTCGCAATGCCCGCATACACCGTACGCACGCATACACAGCACTGCACAACCAACACGGCACCGACTACCGACAGTAGTGACAGCACTGACTAGCGCAACCGCAACCGTGAAACCGACTACGGCCGTTCGCAGCAGACGATGGAGAGGATGGCCCTGATAAAAAAAAAAGTTGATAGAGAACGAGCAAATATTCTATTTACATAAATATAAACAAAAAAATTCTATCATTTTAAATATGAAATCTGGTTCGCGAATTAACTAATTTGAATTAGATTTTAAATAGGAATCTTATAAAACCCGATAAAATACGATAGAATTCATATCCGATCAATCGTGATGCTCGCGAGATCAACGATAGAAAAGATAGAAAATTATATAAACTTATTGAAAACGATACAAACTGATAGAAATCCTATCATTCTTTATAAATTTTTTTTACCGGGATACGTCCATCGGATTAACGATCGATGAGTTTCGACGTCACAGGAAACGAAAAAGCCACCGTTTCCGAGACAAAATGCCGCGCATCATAGTTCTAGTCATGATGAAAAAAAATGTTCTCTTGCGCATTTTGGGTGTATTCATTCGGAACGACAACCCCTCACTAAGCTGCTCAAAGAATTCTCATCTGATTGGTCCATATTTTAGAATCTAATAGAAATTAGAATATACCAATCAAATGAAAGAGCTCACTGTCGCTCAGTTGTTTCTCTGCAACCAATCAGAAAACAGGATTCCGATGGATTTTGCTTCGTATCATCGGAATCCTGTTTTCTGATTGGTTGTAGAGCGTTGTACGACGCAAATCACATGCAGGGTGAATCCAGCATAGGATTCTACTCAAAGGGAGAGAATGGCAAACTGCATCATGTGACTCGTCTCCTCTGATTGGACGTGGGCATCAAAGCTCCTAGGCATGGAAGAGATTGGAGAAAACTGGTCGCGTGATCCCCGTCCTGATTGAACGCGGGCAATCACGTGATGCAATTTGTCACTCTCCCTTGGAAAAAAGTCACTAGATTTTTAAAGTACCGCAAACTCGCATCCATTTTGACGCAAACGCGGCAATTTCAAATTTATGCATTTGTATATACGTACATACTTTATTTTGGAAAATAAATGTGTCAAGTACGTAAATAAATATTTTTTAATTGTAATTAGTTTATTTATGACCAAAATTATATATATATATGCTTAATTTATGAATTATTTAGTTTAATACAGGTTTATTTGTCGTAGAGAAGTTCAGTGCATGAAAGTGCACGAAGGGACAAGTAAGTACACAGTTTAAAAGATGAACCACCAACCACCATGCTTGAAATCGTGTACTATGTGCACTTCGGCCATTTTGCAGCGACAATTCTGAAATCATTCGCGGTACACACTCGGGAAATCTAGTGACTTTACTTTTCAGGCTCTCCAGTCGCGACGCGTCGGCTTGCTTGAGAAACAAAAACGTGATTCGTGCCGCCACCGCTAGATGTCAGACCGGCGCGTGACGGTCTGGCTCGCTGTATGGATGGCCACCATTGTTGAAATACTGATTTGGTTGATGCCCCGACAATTTTGGGGCTGAAAATCGTAAAATCGTCCGTGGCGATAGGGTTTCGTTGCGGTAGGTGCATGAAAGTCTTGTTGCGTTCGCGGCTGTGCGTATGTGTCTTTTCCGCCGTTCCACAATCCATTTCTATGCCGAGTGATCGGGGCCGACGACGATCGGTCCACGCACCTTTCGGGCCTTCCTTCGTCGTGTGATCATTGTCGACAACGTTGGCGTCTCGGTGGTAGTGCGGTGACGAGATTCCGTTGTTGGATCGGGGAAACGCAAGTGAATATTATATTGTGCGCCCGCGCGATAATCGCGCGAAGGGCCAAGGGGGCCAAGGGGAGCAGAGGCGGATCGCGCCGCTCCGCGCCACGGCGTTCCGTTCCGGCGCGCTCTCCTCTCTCTCTCTCTCACTCTCTCTCTCTCACTCTCTCTCCGTGTGTGCGTCCTTGTGTCGGTACTCGGTTGTGTGGTTTTTCGCTGGCGCGATCGGCGCGCAACTCCGTACCGTACACACCGGATCGCGTTTACGATCTGTGCGCTCGTGTGACTCGTGTCAGTGCGATCAACGTCAAAACGTGCGTATCATTCCGTGTGGCTCCGTTTTTTTTTCTCCTTCCCGCTCGTCAGATTTATTCCTTCTTTCCCCACCTACCGCCGTAATCACCGTCGTAATCGTCGTCGTTGCCGCCGGTGGGCAATACGACGCCGTGTGTAACGTACGTGCGTTACATTCATCTTTCGCGCATCGTGTATGCTGCGTGCGTGCGTGCGTGCGTGCGTATGTGGGTGCGTACATGTGTGTGTGTGTGTGTATACTGTGTGTGCGTCTGATACGTGGATTCGCTGTTGCTGCTATTACCGCTGCCAGTTTATTCCGTCTTGTCGCTGTGATTTACCCGGTGACTACTCGCGGTATACATATATATACTCGCGGCGGTTATCGTGCTCCGTCGTGCACGCCTCGGTCAGCGGTGACACGCGGCGATGCTCCTTCAAAAACGTTCGTCGGCACGGAGTGCGTGGACCACGGGTGCCTCCTTCCTGCGTCTCCCCCTCTTTTTCTCTCTCTCCTTTGTCTGTCTCTTCTCCCTCCTCCCTCTCTCTCTCTCTCTCTCTCTCTCTCTCTCTCTCGCTCTTTCTCTCTCGCCCTCGTTCATGACACGTCTTACCCGCGCGTGCATAGGTGTCCGCACGACACGCTATCGATGTGTACGGCCGCGCGAGGGTACAGTACGTGCATCTGCACGGTAAATGTACGGGATAAACGTGTTCGGCACCACTGTCGTCGCTCTATAGCCTTTCGTGTATGCACGCTGTATATACTCCGTTCTTTCTACTCCGTTTCTCTTTCTACCCTGTAAACGGCGCGTGTAAGTAAACGCGCGGTGCGTGTCATCGGGATCGCGAGCCGATTCTCGGAGCAGCGACTTCAGAGCATGTGATACCGGGCTGATCGTATTATGCGTACAGCACAGATCGTTCGTTTTAGCAACGTTGCAGCAATGTTGCAATGCAAGCTTTCGCGCTGTACGTCTCCTCTCGCGAATGTCACCACAATAGCGATATTGACGTCCGCGAGGACAACGATGACAACGTGGAACCCAGAGAGCTCGCAGCGGACCGTTAGGCACGATCGCCGTCGCGACATTTTCCGTTTTTGCGTAACCTCATCTTCTCGGTCCTCACCTCATTTTCTCCTTTTCCAAGCGTTAACGTTCCAGCGTTGATAATACGATCGCTACGTTGCTCCTTCACGAATGAATTCTATTTCGATGATTTGACGCATTTTTGCGATGTGATGGTACGATTTGGAAAAAAAGAAAATATTCGACAAAGTGGCAAATCGCAATGGACGCGTCGCGAAATGCGTTGGTCTTTCATCGTGGTTATGCTCGAAAGTGTACGAGCTGACTATTCGCCGATACACGTAGTGGATAATAGCTGTTTTGATAGTCGGTGTCAATGGGTCGTATGAATAAAAGCAAAGTGAATGTTCTTGACGGAAGGTGGAAGCGTGAGACCTGTGTGTCTGTGTGTGTATTTAATAGCGAATTCGGTTACTTGCACTATACCGAAAACTGCTGTTCGTGAAATTAGCATGATGAAGTTAAATGTGAAAGTATTTAGGTCCGATTACACCAACGTTACTTTGTTATACTTTGTTATACTTGCGTTAAGCAAGGCTTTAAACTCTCTTTTTCTCTTTTTAAAGCCGAGAGAAAAAGATAGAGAGGGAGAGAGTTTTAAGCCTCGCTTAAAGTCATGTTCAAAGTAATGTTAGTGCAATCAGGTTATAAACATCTTAAACAATTAAATACCCAGTAATAATATTATCACGTTATTTAACAGAATATACATGTATTATTTTATTGTCAAAGTTAATTATATTATGCTACTGCATTTAGATACTTTATATAAAGCAGGCTCTGATATGTATATAGCAAATTCGCACTAGAGCGCACTAATTGCATTAAAGCCGTTATTGTACATTGATTTAATTTGAATGAATATAAAAATGAAATTCAAATATTTTTAATTATAACGTATATATTTTACTCAGGGTTAAGTTGAAAAGTTAAAAGTTAAGCTAAAAGATTGTAAAGTTAATTAATTTTAATTTAACTTTACATTTTATCGGTCACTATTAACTTTTAATTTAACATTTTTGAAATTAACCTTTTTAGACCCAATGCCAGGGGATAATGAGTATATAATTTAGTAATCAACTTTACTAATTAAATTAGATATTTCATTATTTTACCAAATTTTATCTTAAATAGGTTAAATTTTCAAGTTAAATTAATCAGAGTAGGCTCTGATCTTATTTAATAATACAATAGAATGTATAGGGGATTTAATCTGCTTTTATAATTATATTAAACACATATCTTTTTAATCAATTTGTGAATGACAGCATCAGTGCTCACAACTAACTCTTCATCTTTTTTTTAGTTTTACGAATAAGAAAAAGATGGAGAGTAAGTTGAACCAAGATTAAAGTCAATCTATATTGGTAGAAACGGGCATCAGAGTGTCCAATCGAATTCGCTACAAGTAGTGCAAGTAACCAAATTCACATTAGAACAAAAGATTGAGACGAGAAAGCGTTATCCTGTTGCGTTTCTTTAACTTGTCCTATGGAATACTTGCTGCGTGCCTTGAAATATTTGCCTGGAGAGCGTAAATGGTCTAAATGTTTTGCTGCGTTTCATTCGAGCTGAATATTCTTTACCTGTACTTAGACTGCAAGCTGCTAAGTTGTGATCTGTTTTGTTTTGTCTCACATTGGCGAAAACACTTATTTTCTAAATAAAAATTTCAAACTCACTACACCGGCTACGATATTTTATTTGCCGCTTAAATTCCTGTATTCTTATGTCACATATATTAGCAGCTTGCTCAAATCAGCATTTGTAATATCGTGTAAATATTATGAAGAATTATAAGGTTTTTGTGAAAATTATATT